AAAGAAATACTATCAGATCTACAACTGCAGATTAGCCCCAACACAATGATAGTGGGTGACTTCAATACAACACAACAATCTCACCCAAAGGTCATCCAGATGAAAACTAAACAAAGAAACAGTGGAACTAAATGACATCATAAATCAAATAGACTTGACAGACCTCTGCAAAACATTCCACCCAAATGCTAAGGAACACAAATTCTTCTCAATAGTCCATGTAACATTCTCCAAAATCGACCACATCTTAGGTCACAAGCAAGTCTCAACAAATATAAGAAAATTTAAATAACATCCTTCATTCTATCTGACGAAAATGGAAAAAAAGCAAAAGATCAATAGTCACGAATCTTCTCTCATCCCTTTTATTAAAAAACAGTTTGCAGTATCATTTAAAACAAGCACTCTTTGGGTATCTTTCTAAGTATGGGCTGAAGTCATCCTTGGGTCATCCCAGAGGCATGGTGTTGAAGGCTACAACAAAGAAGAAGCTGACGGTCTGGAGTAGGCAGAAGGGGCTGTCCAGAGCCTTGGGAGCAGTGCCACTCCTGTGTATTCATGGAGTTCTGGCCATACCTCCAGTAAGACCAAATCCATCCACTCAGAGTCAACGGGGGAAGTAGGCATCCCAACTGCTCAGCTTAAGGATTCTTCCTTTTTGGTCATTAGTGGTTTAGAACATCTGGTCACTCACACCCATAAAAAGTTCTCTTTTCAGATATCTGAAGACTACTAAATTAACTTTTCAGATCTTATCGTCTCACAAGAAATACTTGCTATAAATTCTACAGAAATTTTATGTCTTGCATAGCTATCCAAAGTTGAGGGTTTTTTTTTTCCTATCATTGAAATGACTTGTTTAAGCCTATGAAAATTGTGCAACATCTTTTTGGCATCTAAGGGTGCTATCAAAGGCAGGGAGGAGGCAGAATCTCCACCTTTGACAACATGCTTACAAAGTCACTCCCAAGTACCACAAAGTTCAGACAAATCTATTAACAGTTATTGTGAAGTCCATGATGGAGGCTGACTAACTCAGTCTAAAATTCCTATTTCCCTCCACCCAGAGACAACAGGAGTTTGGTTTTACCTCAATGTCTTCTCTTTCAGGAGTCTATTCACCTACATCTTTATATAATTGCCTCAACAAAGTACAGCTGGGAAGAAAGGCTGCCCGGAAGATCGAGAACAGCAGAACTAAGACCACTGAGTATTTCTTGCCCACATTACCATATACCAAGGTGGTCAATCTAACACACAGTGCTTGTGTCCCCTTTAGAGCAGCATGTTACAAAGAGTTTCATGCATATATGGCGGAAGGCAGGCATGAGTTTCTCCATCTCAGCTCCATGCTGAAGATCAGACCATTAATTCTGACATACCCGCTGTGAACAAGCAATAGGCAACTCAAAGAAATTGATGTAGCACGGCCTCAAGAGTTGGGGTTAACCAAACCTCTTTGGAAATTCAACCATAAGCTTTAATAAACTTCACATCTTTAGACCCATTAATTCTGCTTCTGGGAGCTTATCCTAAGGAAATAATAGAGCATACAGAAGAGCTTTTATGCATAAAGGTATTCATCAAGGTAAAAAGTGTACTATTCAACAACAGGAACATAATTTTAAAATTCAAGTACACACACATAAAAGGATATCATGCATCAATTTGAAACCATAGTTATAAAGAAAATGCTCATAATTTAATGTTAAAAGTGAATGATCAGGCTATAAAACTGAACAAATTTGCACAGGAAAAAAGGTTAAGATGATCTAAGTCAAAATGTCAACCATGAGATACTTCAGAGAACAAGACTATATATTTGTAATTCATTTTCAACCTTTACTTGTCCATGTTTTCCAGATAAGCAGATGTTACTTACAAAGGGAAAAAAGTTATTTTTTGTTACAAAGTAGTACCTAAGTGACTAAAATAATTTTGAAATTATATGTTCTAAGAAAATTAAAAACAGCACATCAATTTGTATATACAAAGATCAGTCTAAGAAAACTATAACAAGGAAGATGTTCTGCATGTGTGGGGGGATAGCTATACTCACTCCAGACAACAGGTATCAGAGCAGACTTCTAACCACACGGGGAAGGGGGGGGAGGGACATGGGAGTCCCTAGGTTTCCACTGCCTTTAATTTGACACACTTCAAACAAGCAGTGGCCTTGCCACGCAAACACAGCTTCACGGTCACTCAATCTTCTCCCAGTCAGACTACAGTCTCCTGAGCCTGTGCCTCCAGACAGAATTGGTACATAAATGATAACATGACAACTTTCTTTCAAGTTGAGACACAGTTAATGGCATAGGGGCTTTTTTTCCCTTTCTTCAAAACAAGATTTAGAGCTAAGGACAAATGCCTTGGCTACTTCACCATTTAGAACATTTAAAGCAAGATTCTTTTCTATTATCCCAGACAATCAACAAAATCACTACTATCTCAACTCCAAAAATATGTTGAATGATATGCAGGATAAAACTTTTAAAAAACCCATAAGAACAACAAACCAAGTATGAGGTGGACATCAGACCCCTATCACTTTCAAAGACAACAGACTCATTCAGTTGCTGGTATAAGAAGAAAGGGTTGGCCCTTCCATCCTACATCATAAAACTGTTACAAGCTATAAACAAACAGGAGAGCAGACAAAAGGTAAATGATGAGCCAACTCTACAGGAACCCCTCAGGGAAGGCCGGTGTCTGCTACTTTTCCTACTGTGATACAATATCATGACAGAAGCAACTTAAGGGACAAAGGGTTATTTGGCTCACAATCTGAAGTTACAGTCCATCACAGCATCAAGAGCTTGACACATTGGTCACATCCACAGTCAAAAGGCAGAAAGAGATGAGTGTTGGTGCTCAGTTCACATTCTCCTTTTCATACGGTACTGGAGCCTGGCACAGGGAATGGTGGCAGCCACAGGAGGTAAGCCTTACAGCTTCAAATGACCTAATCAAGATAATCCCCTTCAGGCATGTCCAGAATCACAGGTTGGCCTGGTCTTCCTTTACCTTTGGGGCAAAGAAGCTATGCATACCCACACAGATTTGTGAGGACTAGATACGGCTAAATACAGCCCACAGTGAATCAGAACCGGCTTAGGAAGGCAAGGGAAGCATGGAAGGAGCCTCAGAAATGACAAGGGTGGGAGCTTTTCATGTCCTTGAGAGCAGTGACAGCCACTGGGAAAGTCCTGTCAGGGGACCAGGCTGATGGGAAGCTAAACCCAGTGCTGTTCTTTCTCAGCTCTGTCTGTCTGTCTATCTTTCTTAAATTATGTGTATATCTGTGTGTCTGTGAGTATGTGCATATGAGTGCAGGTACCAACAGAAAACAGAAAAGGATGTTGGATCCCCTGGAGCTGGAGTTATAGGCAATTATAAGCTGCTGGATATAGGTGCTGAGAATTGCTCTCAGGTCCTCTGAAAGAACAGCAAGAGCTCTTAACCTCTGAGCCATCTCTCCAGAACCCTGAGGGTTTTCTTGTCCCACCCCCTCTTCCTTTTCTGTTCTTGTTCCCTGTTCATTTTGGAACTGATTTTTAAGCAGCGCCTCTAAATGCCTTTCTTCCTTAGTCACCTTCTGGGAATGAAAGAAGCTGAGTGGCACATCTGGCCATTTCACAGAGATACCTCAAGTTCTGACCTTCCACATGGAAGGGGGCATATGACATGAAGAAGTAGCTTATGGGACCAAAACAACTGAAGGGTACATGTCAGGCCATGATTAGAAGATAGGGATTCCACCCTAGGAAGTCTGAAGATGGTTCTAGCCAGGTCAACTTTATTCTGTCTCTTCTGATTGTATGTGTCAGCAGTTGCTAAGTCACAATCATCTGAGGATGACCTTCTCCACCACAGCTCCAGGAGAGAAGTACTGCTATTCAAGCTCCAGGCTGCACATAGGGCTACTGAGAGGCCGTTAGATTTCACCCACGTGCCCATGGTGAGGATGTGGAGCAGACAGGCCTGGCCACCCGACTCCATACCAGAACTCTGTGGCTCAGCATCTCACAGCAGTGTCCTGGCCTTCCTCAACGCAGTATGGAAGGCCTGAAGGAGTGTCTTCATTTACAGACAAATAGAGAAATGAAAAGGGATGGAAGGTCTTGTCAAGGAACGGAGACCATCCAGTGAGGAAAGAGATTTCAATGCAACCTCTTTGGCTCTCAATTATAAGCCTTAACCCCTCTGTCAAGGCAACAACCTAGCCTGCTCTCTCTACAAAATTTGAAAAGCTACAGGACTTTCAGGATTCACAGGTACAGAGAACACAGTCACTTTCCATGACTATTTCTACCATCTTTTACATAAAGAGCATGAACCAAAATGACTCTTTTTACATGAAACATTTTCCTAGATTCCACAAGGTTCTTCATCTTCACTGTTCCCAGTCTGTAAACAAGAAGTCACAGGTCCAGAAAATGAAATGACTTCCTGGGATGCTAAGTGAATCAGACAAAGAGCCAGAACCCAAATCTAAAGTCACTATATCTCCAGCCATGGTTCCAGCACTAGTGGGACTAGTAGTTCCTTGCAAAATGTACAAAACAGCAGCCAGGAGAGCAAACCAATCTTAAATCCTGGTGTCTAGCTTCTCTACAGACTCATGTACAAGAGAGTGATCCTAACCACCAGGGGAGCTCACCAGGTTGCCCACCCCCCATCACTGTTAGCACACAGGAGGTAAACTAAAGATGAAGAAGAGGTTATTCATCAGTGGTAAATTTTCCCCTTGAAGTGTTTTCCTAGCCCTGTTTTAAAAAAACCCACTAATACCTTGCTCTGCAGATGCTATGCTCCTATTCAGAGAGAGAGGGGAAAAAGGTCAAAATCAGTCACCATGGCAGCCTGAGCCCTTGACTCTGCATAACCTTCAGCTTTAAGTATAGATATGCATCCATTTTATGCAGTTGTTTGGTCTTTTGTTACCTGCTACCTAAGAGTTAAATCAACACCTCCAACTAAGTGGAGAGTACTCTCACCTGTGAAAGCATTTGTGGCCTGAAAACCAGCTTCCTGCATACTGCACCCCAGACAAGCTTGTGTTTCAACTCTTGAGCTGTCCAGTTGTGAAGAAACTGCCTGGGCAAGGCCTCAGGTTACTTCCATCTTAGCCTGTTCAAGTCCATCACTTTGTTCGTCCAGCTCTGGGGAGCATCTGATGCCCACTGGCTGTGCTCCCACACCTTATGAGCAGGCAGTACCTGGATGGCACAGAGTCCAACAGCATGTGGGACACACAGTCACATCAGCCGTCCAGCCAGAGAGTTGAAGCCATGGTGAGATTGGGAGTGGAGAAGCTGTCCTGCTGAAAGCTGCTCTCCCTCCTCAAAATGAAGGGCTCCTCAGCCTCGAAGCAGCCAACATCCTCCACAAAGGGATCACAGTATCAGCCTCACCAAGAGATCTCAGTCTGTTCTGATCTGTCCCTCTTTGTGCTTCACTTCTGTTCCTGCTGAAAGTAAAAAGAAAGAGGTCACTTTCTTAAGGCTTTGCAGAACAAAGATTAATAGACTTGCTGGATATGGTGCTGCACATCTGTAATCCCAGCACTTGGGAGGCTGAGGTGGGTTACTGTGAGTTTGGAGGTCAGCCTAGGCCACACAGCAAGAACCTGCCCCACACAAAAAAAAAATAAATTAAAAAAAAATAAAATAAAAATAAAAACAAACAATAATAAAGATTAATAGACCTATAGAAATAAAAAAGAAAATGCCAATCAGTCATGACCATGATTCTTCTGTGAACAATGGGGTAGTTCACCAAGGGGAGATGGTAAAGGGCAGGAATGAGATGGACCCTGACCCACAACTCTAAAACACCAAAGTATCCATTCTTCCAAGCCTCTCTAAGAACAGCTGTAAGATCACAAAGTTCAGATGGTTTTCCTCAGGTCACTTAGAATTCACACACACCAGGAAAAAGAAATTCATTTCCAAAGTGGATTCCGAGGTCTGAGGATCCCGAGGATCCTAGAAAGGGGTCTTTCGTACGTATCAACTGCCATCAACACTTCAAAAATGGAAAAATCAATATTTGGGTTGAACAGTTTTTTAAAAAGTGACTCCTACACTATGATCAAGTAGGATTTATCCCAGGGATAGAAGGATTATTCAACATACACAAATCAAAACACATAATAATTACATTAACAGAATGAAGGACAAATCCATACCATCATCTAAATAGGAACAGAAAGTGCATTTGATAAAATTCAACACCCCCTCATGAGAAAAGTCCTCAATGTTAGGTATGGAAGGAAATTACCTTGACACAATAAAGTACAACATAAGGCTTCAGCCAATACCACACCAAATAGGAAACGTTCCCTCTAAGATTAGGAACAGCATGCATGCCACGTACTCCACCCTTATTCATTGCAGTATTCAAAGTCTTAGATGGAGAAATAAGGCAAGAGAAAGCAATGAAAGGCCCCTACTTTAGAAAAGAGAAAATCAAATTATCATTGCTTGCAGATAACTTGTTTTTCATTTGCAGAAAAATAAGTACTCCACTAAAAATTGCTAGAACTAAAAAATCTAGTAAAGTTGCAAGCTGCAATATCAACATGTAAAAGGACAATTTTATCCAACAATACAAGGGCTTGCATAGAAAGAAATAAAAGTATCCCAATTCACAATGACTATTTAAAAATATATCTAGTACTGGGAACAGAAGGCTATAAAAAAAAAATTCTAAATTCCCATGTAATCACAAAAGATCCTAAATCCAGAGCTAAAAAGAAGCCCTGTTAAGAGATTACAGTACTTTATCTGGATTTCCAGTACTGTCCATAATTCTAACTCCCCACAGGTCCTGAGCAGTAACACAAAAGCAGAGGGGGGTGCACAGAGGACTCAGCAAATACCTGCGACATAATCCTAATCCCTCTCCAAACCTTGAAATGGCAAGTGATATTTTCCAGGTGGAGAAGCTACTTTCAGTTCTGCTTGGCTCTGATCTTTGTGGCTGGGGGGTCGGGGGTCACCCACTAGTAGAGATGAGGAAACAAGTATAAGTAAGCGACGATGTCACAGACACTCCACTGAATATCCTACCCAGGAAAGGCCTGTGGAGGCCACTGACTTAAATCCCCTTAAACTACAACTTCTAGTCCCTCTTACCAACACTAAAAAACTACCCTACAGAGGATAAACACTAGCCAAACCACTAGCATGTCAGAGAAGCAGGTTTATACCAGGTCTCTGGTCGTCCAACAAGTTCTCTCCAACTTCTGATCTCAGGTAGTTCCCTAAACCTAAATGCCTTAAGCTTGGTATTAATCAAAGGAGGAAGAGGTGGGAAATTCACCTAGCGCCAAAGGTCACAGGCTCAGCCTAAGCCACACATAAAAGATTCCACCCTCTAAGATTCCACCTTCTATAGAAAGCTTTCTGCCATCTCTCTCTCTCTCTCTCTCTCTCTCTCTCTCTCTCTCTCTCTCACACACACACACACACACACACACACACTTGCACAGATGTTCTGTTTATCCTGGGAAGATAGGAAAGACTAACCAGTAAAAATTCATTTAACACTATACTCGAAAAATGTCACTAAGTCCTTCCATAACAGAGCAACAGTAACTAAGGAAACAGAACATACTCAATGGAAAAACACCCCCACAAGAAGGGAGATTTTTCAAAACATAAACAGTCTCAAAACCCAACCAATATGTTGTAGAATATGCCTGCCTTACTAGTTGCTCATAAAAATTTGTGTGAAGTACAGTCCTCCTGGGAATCACTCAGGAATGAAAACTTTACTGTGGCCTGATCACAGCTTTCATAAAAATACATGATAAAAATAGACATGAAATTCAGGAGGCAGGAGGGTCATACCCTGGGCACAGAGACCAAAACCCAACAGAGATGGGACATAACCTTTTTTTCAAAATCAAGTAACATTCAGAAGAAATTGCAGTGCGCAAAGAACAACGCTGCTGCTTTTCCATTTCCATTTCCTTTCACTGTGGACAGACTGTTTCACTGGCAGAGTGTTGGTTACCTAGGTGATGACTAGACTAAGCAGCAGCAAGCTTCAGACCCTCCAGAATCTCAGAGCCCAGGACCTGGCCTGTGTCTGATGGCCTCTCACTTTCTACCCATCAGAAAAGTTCCAGGAAGGAAAATAACAGCACAAAATGAAGAAGTGGTTCTCAAACCACTTTGGAAAACTGAGGCACTGTTGCTAAACTGAAAATTTAGTACACTTGAGAAAACAAAGTGTAGTATTGTACCACTCACCAGAGCATCTTAACCTACTGGCTGGGTCATTTAAGTCCAAAGTAGGAAAAGAGTTTTATTGAGGCAGATGTAAGAAAAAGTAGGAAAAAGAAACCTGAGGATTCTACACCTGACTTGGGCTACAATCAGGTGTACCCTGTTGGAAACAGAGATCACTCTTCCTCCTCTACCCTAAAGGGCAATTTAGACCTCAGGAAAGGCCAGTCCATGTCAAGATTGAGAGAGAAATGGAGAGGAGGAAGGGGGGGCAGGGTGGAGTGGAGAGAATAAAAGGGGGGGGGAGACAAAGCTCATTTAAGAAAAATGTGGCCCAACCCCTGCCCTGAAGGCAGCAAGGGGCTGAGTGCCCCAGGGGAAGCCCCCACCTTCAAGTTCCACTTATCAGATTTGGTGAAGCCACTCAGTCTTTATAAGTCTCCCATTTCCTCAGAGGAGATGAAATTCAAGATCCCCTCCAATCTGAATATTCCCCTGTGGCTGTGTATCTGGCCAAAGGAGATAAACACAAACATGTGGTCCACAACCACAGGTGTTCAGGCCTCAGAACAAGTCAGAGAAACGTGTGGCCTGCCATCAGGGGAGGCTGAGTTAGAGTGCTACAAATTACTCATGGGACTTTTCATTTCTGGGACTTGGAACTATAAAACAGCATGTAGTTTTTGTATTACAATCTCAAAGATATCCTAGCCAGGGAAGGGTAGCTTATCAGGCTCTGATCACTTCTTCACTTCTTCAGAATAAAGTAGTGTCTTACTTTAGGCAACTAATTCAGAAAGCAAGTTAAAATACACACAAACGCATACACACTCACACACACACACACACACACACACACACACACAAAATATCTGATTCAAATATACAGATAAGCTGGATTCAGAGGCACCTCCATAGACAGACAAGGCACAAGAATGTAGGTGCTTTGGGGGCAGAAGCTTGGTTTGTTTGCTCTCTTCTGTCTTTCCAGTACCTCTAGTGAGAGTAATATCCCCACAAATTGCTGCTGAAAATTGAATGTGTAAATGTAGCTTCTGTGGTGTCATGTAGGCCAGAGAGCCAGGAATATTACAGGCCAGGCATAGTTATCCTTCAGAACCTACTATTAGCTGGCAGCAAAGAGTGCTTGGCAAGGAGGGCAAAAATTGTTTCATACAAATGACTTATGGGTTTATTCTCCTTTAATCTCCTAAAGAACGAGTAGCCTCCCTCCTCTGCTCAGTTAATCCTCTTCCTGGTCTCCTTCTTGTTTGCCTGCCATGCTCATTTTAAGCCAATTTTATGTGACTAAAATTGTAGTAGGGGAGAATACAGCAGGTGCCCAATAAATACCAGCTGTACTGCACTGAATCCTATCTTTACCTCTGGGTCACACCCTTTTCAATCTACCACCTCTGTCCTGCATCCACTGAAGAGGTATCAAGGGTGCCGTATAGCCAAGGAGGCTGAGGGCTGTAGCCATTCAAACTCTGGAAAACGTGCCACCTGCGCAATCCTGCCTGGGCTCTGGAGCCCTACACCATTTAAAACATGAGGGCTTCAAACACAAATGGGCCAGAAAGTGGAAGTCCAGGCTCTGAGTCAGACTGCTTTGGGCTTGTCTCATTCTAGGTGTGTGACTTGACAGTTACTTAATGCACACCCTCCTAGAGCCTCAGTTACCTCAGCTGTAAAACGCAAGAAACAATGACACCTGCCCCATAAAGTACCACACATTTAAAGAGAAAACACACACAGGGCACTGTCATCTAACAAGTGCTAAGGAAACTATAATCCCATAATCATTAAAGACTATCTCGGCAGATGACTTAAAGTGTTTTGGAGAATACACCCCAACACATCCGCCTCCAGTCCTTATCTAACCTGACTGGATGCAAGAGATATCCATTTCATGGTTCCTCGGCTCATCGGTCTTATTTTTTCTTAAGCTCTCAATAGACAAAAATTGAAGCTCAAAATCATTCCATGTCAGCTAAACTTAACAACAGAGAGAAGCGGAGGAAAGGATACAAAATTAGAGAAAGCGTGTGGGTGAAGTATTTGGAAGGAAATGTGGCAGAGGAGCAGAAAGAATCTTGCCTTTAAAAGGAAAAAGTGCTTCTTGATATCCAGTTTTGTCCATGTTTTCGTACTGAAATACAATTTGAAAGCATCAATAGAAAGGAAAGCCACGTTTAACTGAGGTTTTACATCTCTTTGTCAGAAATTGTAA